TGACTGGGCTTGGGGCTCCCTTTCTGCTCTTGGCTCTCCGGCTCTGATGGGAGTCCCAGAGGGGAGGGGTGGATCCCAGCACTGTGGTGGGGAGCCAGGGCTGCAGCCTGGCATAGCCTGGAGCCCTCGGCTAATCTTGGCACGGAGCTGGGCCTTCAGGTGTGGCCGTTCCTGGAAATGTCCCCGGACCATGCCTTCCCTTCCCCCTCGAGGCCCAAGGGTGCCTCCTCCCCGCTGAGATGTGTCCTCTTAACCCAGTCAGGTGGTTTCGGGGCTGGGTCTGCAGCACCTGGCACCCCGGCCCTTCCCCATACACTTCCTCAGCCTCAGTCTGCCTTCCTTCGGGCAGAGAGAGGGGTGAGGACTGTGCTTCCTGTTGCACAGGGGGCGGGCTGAGGCTCAGAAAAGATCAGTCAGTGCTGGCCGAGGCTGCTGAGCTGCGAGCCAGTTCAAGCCTTCTTTTCTGAGGATGCTGCCTCACAGGAGGGTGTGGCTGGGCTTCGAGGGGTGCTAGGCAGCAGCAAACGGTGTGCCCTAAGTCACCGCGCTGTTTGTCCGGCTCTGTGCTCCAGGTCTGGCGTCAGGGGTGTCCATGGGGGCAGGGGCAATCTGAATCCTAGTGTGGGGTCAGCAGGAATGACCAGCTACAACTCAGCACTTTTTCTCCAAGAATGTAACTGACCCACATAAAGATGATGATGACGCCCCATGTAGGTGCAGCCATCTCCAGGTACCTTATTCCACCACAGAAAATAACAACAACCACCCCACAGAGCCAGCCTCGCTTTAGTGAGCACCTACTATGGGTGAGGCGCTGTCCCAGGCAATGAGGAGGATAGGGCGGTAGACACAGCAGGCTGTCCTGCTCTCAGGGAGTTTCCGTTCCAGCGGTGGAGGCAGACAAGAAGCTAACAAAGGAGATGCTGTCAGATAGTTTTAAGTGCTAAGAGGAAAATACCACAGGGAGATACGATGGAGATCATTTGGGAGATAGGGGCAATAGCAGATCTGGCCAAGGAGCTCTTCTGAGATGACAGTGGAGGAACAGGAACCAGTATGGGTGGAAGGGAGCGGTTTCCCTCAGCCCCAACCCTGCTGTCCCCAGGGACACCCAAGGGCGTGGACTTCACGGCCGTTCGGGACCTGCTGCTGGCGGTGGAGGGCGTGGAAGCCTTGCACAGCCTGCACATCTGGGCGCTGACTGTGGCGCAGCCCGTGCTGTCTGTCCACATTGCCATCGGTGAGCGGTGGGGACACCTCAGGGCGGGGTGAGGGAGAGAGGCGGCCAGAGGCCTGGGCATCCCCAATGGGTCCAGGTGGTTCCAGTGCTTTCTTTCAGGATTGCACCAGGTGTGGGAGCTGGGGGGTTACCTGGGACAGGAGTGGAATCTGAGCTTTCTTAATGTTTGAGGTCATCCGTCCTGTTCTGCTGTGGGTAGGGCATGAGCATTGGGCTCCTGATTGTTTCTAAGGGCCCAAGAGTCAGTAAGTGTTTTTCTGGTGCCTCCCCTGGTGTGTTCTCTTGGCCTCCAGCTCACAACACAGATGCCCAGGCTGTGCTGAAGGCAGCCAGCGCCCGCCTACAGAGGCAGTTCCACTTCCACACCATAACCATCCAGATCGAGGACTACTCCGAGGACATGAAGGACTGTCAGGCGTGCCAGGGTCCGTCGGACTGACTGCCTAGCCAGGTGCCAACTGGAGCACGGACAGGACCTACAAATGGCGGGGCCCAGTGTCCCTCAAGCCCAGCCAGGACTCTGTTTACCTTGGCTGTTAAAACCAGATCCCTCTCCTAATCTTAGCTCCACGTTCAGTGTGGAGGAGTCGTGCCCACTGCAGGAGCGAGGCTCTTCCCCTGCCTCTCCCATCTGACTGCAGCCACCCCACGATGGGAGCTCAGCCAGTGTAAAGCTAGTACAGGAGCTCCTTCGGCTCCCGGGTCAGCTCCTGTCAGGCCTGGGTTTGGGCCTAATCCTCAGCCAATGCTGTCCTACCAACCACCAGCCTCAGGGAAAGGCGGTGAGTACAGTGAGGGGTGCTGGAGGGGAGCCTGGCCTCAACGTCCCCTGTCTACACACCCCGTTTCCCTTTTTCAATCTGTCTTGCCTTTGCCTTATGAATCCACAAAGAAGCCCGTGGACAGGGCCCCCTCCCTCTTCTGCCTCTAACAGTGATCTGGTTTAAAGAGGCCACGGGGCTTGGGGAGTTAGGAGATGGGCTAGTGAGCCAGGGCAAGTGGAATAGGGAAACTGAGGCAGAGTTACATGGCCAGGCCATTTATAGCCATCTAGTAAATCACAAAATTCTATCTTCCCCAACCAAGGATGCAGAAGAGTAAATGGTTTACACTTCTCCCCAACCAGACAGTAAATACGTAGCTTAAATCACCCTACTCGGGGAGATAGATAACAAAAGTCCAATTAGTGCCATTTGTGCCAACCACACGCACGGGCAGATGAAGTCAGGGAATCAATCTCATTTTGATGCATCAGCATAAAGCTGATGGATAGTCTATCGAGATCCTCCCCTAAGATCTCCCCTAAACTCCCAGCCTTTAAAACCCTCAGGATGTCCCTGGCCCGGTGGCTCAGTTGGTTGGAGCATCGTCCTGTACACCAAAAGGCTGGGGGCTCGATTCCCGGTCAGGGCATGTACCTAGGTTGTGAGTTTGATCTCACTGATGTTTCTCTCTCACGTAAATGTTTCTCTCTCTCTAAAATAAACACGTTTTAAAAATTAAAAAAAAAAACCCTCAAGATGAAGGACCAGTGTGCCTGTGCCCTTCCCTCCCCCTTCTTCTCCCCCACCCCCAGCTGCCTTACCTCTGCCTTTCTCCTCATCTCCAAGGGCCCTTCTGCTACCTCTGTCACTTTCTAAATAAACTTTCTCCTACAATCTGAGTTCTTAGCTCTGAAATCTTCCTTTGCACAACTTAAGAACTGAGGTCTAATTTCACCACCAATACTGCCGGTAACATAGGTCCCCTGCCCTGTCCTCCGTGTCCCCCTGAGATGGGGGGTCAGGGGGCACCCGAAGGCCATCTGTGTGCTGGTCACTCCAGCTGTGAGACGCATGTTTCCCTTGCCTGGAGGGAGGAGGACTTCTGACCAGGTAAGGACCTGGCTGGTTTCCTCTTTCCTTATTCCTCCAGCCCAGGAAGCTGTGCCAGTGCAAAGACACCCTGGTCACCGCTGGGAGGGGGGACAGGAATGTCATCTTGGGACCCGCCCTAACCACTTCACAGCTCCGGGGCCACTCCTCAGCCTGGCAGTGTCCCGAGGAGCTCAGCCTGAAACTGGATCTGATGGGGCCAGCTGTTGCCAGTGTGGCCTGACCTGTTCTGAACTTGGGGATGGAGGACACGGAGGGGCCCAGGAGATGCTGGCTTCCTGGGCTGTGTGAAGGTTCCTGAATTAGGGGGTGGCTTAAGTGTGTATGTTTGTTTTTTTCTTTTAAATATTTTATTTATTTATTCATTTTTAGAGAGTGGGAGGGAGAAAGAGAGGAAGAGAAACATCAATGTGAGAGAGATACATCAATCAGTTGGCTCTCGCATGCCCCCAACTGGGGACCTGGCCTGCAACTCAGGCCTGTGCACTGACTGGGAATCGAACCAGTGACCTTTCAGTTCACAGGCCAGCCGGCACTCAATCCGCTGAGCCACGCCAGCCAGGGCTGTTTGTTTATTTTTGGATTATGTTTATAAAACGAAAGGGGGAAACCTGTCTCCGGTCTCACAGAATGTTAACAACCGCCTCACAGGGTTGTTGTGAGGACTGAAGCCAAAGTCTGCTAAGCACCGGGTCGGTGAGGAGTGGTTACTTTTATATTTATCCTGGAAGATGCAGCCTGAGGCTGCCTTGTTGGGCTTCCCGGTGGGCTGGTGGGCTTCCCAGCCTCCGCAGGGGCAGCACCAAGTTTGTCTGGGCTCTGTCAGTACCCAGGGCAGGAGGAGGGGGGCCTTGGTCACTCACCTCCCCCTCTGAGCCTCTCTCTTCTCATCAGTGAAGGGATGACTCTGTGCCTTTCTAGCACTGACGTCAGGGTTACCTGTGACCTAGATCAGTGGGTTCCTATGCCCCTGAAAATTAGTGGGAAGTCATTTTGTGTTGTCTTGGAAGGGTGTGCGGGGAACTGCTGATGGCCATGCTGCCCTCCACCCCAGTCTCAGGGGAATCAATGCCCCTTCAGCCATGGAAGGTCCCAGGAACCTGGGTCCTGAGCTTTGCTCTATGCTGAGTCCTTAACCCCCTCTCCAGGCATGGCGATGCTCCATTTTTACAGATGAGAAAACTCAGAGAGCAACCTTCGGTCACAGAGCCAGTATGAGGCAGGTCTGGAGTTTCTGCCTCATTCCCCTGCAGCAGGGGCTGGGGACCTGCTCTGGGCTGCATGTCGTTACAGTGTGAGACCTTGGGCCTTGCAGTGCCCTCCCCATGGGCAAGGCTTTGCCAAGGCATTCAGTGTTCTGAGTGCTGCAGCTGTGATCGGGGAAGGCAAAGGTGCCTCTTTCCCCTGGCTGGGCCTGGCACGCAGAGCCCTGCGTCCTGGGAAGGCTGCCTGGGCTGCAGCTGTGCGCTTCCTCACCCACCCTCAGCTGCTCTCGATCCTGGGCCAGGCTGTCTCCCATCTTCTGTAACTCGCCGTCTCCCCCACCTCAAGAATCTAGCAGCCCTATGCCTCCCGAGAGAGAGCCTTCTCAGCACCCCCAGCGGTGACTGGCCCCCAGAAGGACCTGAGTCATCCAGGGGGCAGAGGTTAAGCTAGACGATGGGGGTGGGAAGCCTTGGAGAGGCCTTGGGGGACAGCATGTTCTGGCCAGCGCACTAGTCACGGGAGTTTCCAAAGCAGCGAGGACATCAAAGCAGAAAAACACCTGACACCCTGGATCTGGGCTGGACCCACTCTACCCCCACCCCTCTAGAATCGTCCCCCTCCCAGGTGCCTCCCCTGCGCAGCTGCTTACGGGGTATTTATAGCCTGAGTTTGGGCAGCGAGGACGTTAGCTTTATTTCGGAAGTGATAATTCCAGTTCCAGGTGGATGAACCCGGGAGAACCCAGCGTCCCTTCCCCCACTCCACTCTCCCCTAAAGGCACTCCAGCTTCTGCTCCCACCCAGCCCACCTAGAAATCACCCTGCTTGGTCCTAAGTGTGTGAGCCAAAAAGTGGGGCTGTCCTTTCAGATATTCCCCTACCCGCTGAGTTTTCAGACCTCAGGCTGCACAGCAGCGAGCCTCCTAGTTTCCCGACTGGAGCGTGGAGCGGCGCTGACCTCTAGTGGTCTAGGATGGTAACGCAGGGCGACGGCCGAGCCTGAGCCCAGGGTCCCTGGCGGGGCAGGGGTCAATCGCCCGCCTTCTCATCCCTTTCGTCCCCTCCTCGCTCTGCTCCGCCGGTTCGAGAAGGAAGCCAAAACTAGCTTCCTGGCGCCTCTTTGCTCCATCGCTGGGACGTGATGATCGTGCCTGGCAACGCAGGCGTCTGTGGTTAAACTGCCTTCCCACCGGACTGGAAACCCCGAAGATGGGGATGGAGTTTCAACTCCTCACTCCTGTCCACACTCCCGCCACCGTCCTCACTGAGCCAGGCACGCAGCTGATGTTTCTTCCATTATCTTTTCATCAAATATTCGTAGCGCACCTGCCAGGCTAGAGAAGGAGAACACGACCCTGCCTTTCTGAGGCTCCCGGGCCAGTCCAGAGGCTTGATGGTATGCGCGACCAGGCAGCATGCACAATGCCGGGACTGCGGGAAACACCCAGCTATAAAAGCACAGAAGAGACCAAACCGACCCGGAGACGGGATGGGGGTCAGACAAGTCCCTGTGGGAGGCGAGGATTTGAAAGACAAGAAGTCAACTGGGCAGAGTGATTGGCACTGGCAGAGGCACGGAGGCGGAACCATCATCTGTTGCTGGGCTGCACAGTGGGGTGAGGTCCCACCCCCTCCGGGCGATGTAACTGATTGGCCAATTGGAATCTGACGTGTTGGCCAACTGGATTCCTTAATTGGGTCCGTAGATGTCTCTAGGGAGGGAACATCTGAGCCGCGCCACCTCCCCTAAGCAGGTGCAGCGCCCGTGGGAGTAAGGAAGGGGTTTCTGTAGGTCCTACTTAGGGCTTCTCCAGGCTGCGATACTTCTTTCGCAGCACCGACACGGGGTCCTTGAAGAGCACTGGCTCCAGACGGAAGCGAGAGGACACCAGAGGCATGTGGCCGAACCCTGCCGCCATCTGGTTGATGCAGTTATGGTCTGCGGGCTGCAACGCAGGTGCGGGCCCCCGGCCCCTAGACACCTAAGAGGGGGAGGAGAAATATGTCGGAGGGTTTTCCGTCTTTATGAACCCAGCCTTTTCCCTCCCCCCCCCCCCGCCCCCAGCAGAAAGAATTCGGGTTAGCCAGTGAAAGGGAACTCTCCCCTACTTCTCCTCCCAGTGCCCCTCCAGCCTCACCAGTGGTGGTCTGGCTTCCAGATGCCGCTTCCCATAGGGCACCTTGATAGGGGGCAGCTTCGTAGCTGCTGCTACTAGGAAATTCATTAGGACGTCCACACAGGTGGGTGTGTCATCTGCCAGGCTCCTCAGAGCCTCGGGCAGGGAGTGGGTGAAGAGGGTGTGGTAATACCTGGGTGAGGGGGGGAGACAGGGAGAGGCTGCAACCGAGTTTGCCCCCTCCCCAGGCCTCATTCTCCCAGTCCTGACACTCTCCCCCTGACCCCAGTCTCCAAGCCTTTCACAAAACCCCTGCTCCCCGCTCTGAGCCCTGGCCACTTCAGAGAGCCCCCACTGTAAGTACCAAGTGCTCCCCGCTGTTCTGTGCTCTCTGTGGCTTGCCTGCAGCCAATGGTGTACCCCTGCCCCCTCCCCCACAGCTCCCTGGGGCCCCTACCCCAGGCTCTGAGGAATGAACTCAGACCCAGACTGAGAGGGGATCAGCTGGTTCCAAGGCCCTCAAACATGGCAGCCCAAAACCAGCTTCTGGAAGGATGTGGGCTAACGAGGCTGGTGCCGCTGCAGGCGAGCCTTGCTCCACGCAGCCCTCCCACTGAACAGCCCGGCCCCGCAGACAGTAGGGGTGTTCTTCACTGTGCTGAGGATTCCCTGCGAGAGGTTCCGCATTTGGTTTAAACATGTTAAAGAAGGCCCTCTAAAGAGGCCCTCCAGAATTCAGTCCCAGCCCCAAGACTGGGGTGCTTGTGCAGCCCCCAGCTCATCACACACATTTATTTTTTTAACTTATTAAAATTTCTTTTATCATTTGACTATCACACAACCCTATGAGGTGAATACATTTTATAGATGAGGAAGCTGAACCTCAGGAGATGTGAGGAGACTTGCCCACCACCCAGCTGGGACATGGCAGGCCTGGGCCTTGAACCTGGATCTCTGGGCTCTAGTCAGTGTTCGCTCCAGGCCACCCTGCTCCTGCTTTAAAGAGGGTCGCTGGCCCTCTGATCCTGGTGCCAGGGCCACCACCTGTACCTGTGGTAGAAGACGGCTGAGGTGAGGACCATGGAGAACTCGTTGACCCTCTCAGCGGTGTAGCCCCAGCCACCCCGGGCCTCATCCCAGAAGTGGCTCCACGTCAGGAAGCCCACCATCCGCTCCGGGAAGCTCTGCCACACCACAAAAGCAAAGTCCACCTGGGGAGACATTTAAGTGAGGTCCGAGGGAGGAACATCCAGAGACATGGACGCAAAGCCGGCCTGAGCTCAGGAAGAGGAGATAAGACCATGGAAGTGTTCAGAGGATGCTTAGGGGAAAATTTTCAGCTGGGAGTGGACAAAAAAGCATTTTCAAAATAGTCTGTAGAAAGTTTCTATTAGATTTCTAAGGAGGAGGCTGAGTCGCATGCCGGGGCGGTTTCAAAGGCAGGAGACCGGGTCTCTGACACCCGGCCCTCCCAGCTCGGGGACCCGAGGGGCCACCAGGGCCCTCTGGCTCAGTCCCCACCCACACTGGACTCCTCCTGGGCCCAGTCCGCACCTCACTTGTGGAAAGACTGCTGTGGGCATCGAGGCTGAGGACGGCGTCGGTGCTGACGGCACTGTATGGGCGGAAGCGGTCGCTGGCCTGCAGTGGGAGAGAGATGACTCAGCCAGCGGTGGGAAGCTGCAGGGCCCCCCCCGTGAACATCCGAGTGTGTGCCAAGCAGGAGTCCTGAGGGCATGTTGTAAAGAAAAGGCAGTGAAAATGGAAGCCTGCCCTGAACTTTGACCTGAGGAACTCATTTTACCTCTTGGAATTGGACTTCCCCTTTGGTAAAATGGGAAGGGGGGGGTGGTGGGAGTTGGTGACTAGGGGCCCTTCCTGACATCTCAGGATTCTTCCCTTGTCTTTATTGGATGCTCACCTCATCCCTGGAAAGGGTTGTCAAATATCCTTTGTTGGAAAGAAACAGGTCCAGCCCTGGCTGGTGTGGCTCAGTTGGTTGGAACATCATCCCATAGACTGGAAGGTCATGGGTTTGATTCCCAGTCAGGGCACATACCCAGGTTGCAAGTTTGACCCCCAGTTGAGGTGCATATGAGAAGTAAACTGACTGGTGTCTCTCTCTCCCCCCATTCCTCTCTCTCTAGAAGCAATGTCCTCGAGTGAGGACAAGAAACAGGTTCAGAGATGAAGGGACTCGTCCAGAACCATACAGCAAGCAGGTGGCTCGTGCTGACCCAGGCTGGCAGAAGTCGCCCCTCTCGGGCCCGTCTGTCCACGTTTCCTCCAGACCCCAGTCTCTCCTCCACACCTCATCTGAAACACCACGTACCCCCTCTGCCTTCCCTCGTCTCATAAGACCCCAGTGCTCTGGAAGCACAATCCACAAGGGCCAGGGGTGGAAGAGAATCATTTCTATTAGGCCAGTAGGCAAACCTCCTGTCCGATTTCTTCAGGCCCATTGTGAAGTCCGGCTTTGGCTCAGGCCAGAGTAAATCCGCCCCCCGCCACCCCCCCTACTCGGGGCCCTGCCTCCTGGGGCTGAGCCCACCCCTTCCATGCCGCTCCCCACCCCTCACCTTCCTGTGCCCCTCGATGACTGTCAAGGGCACTGCTGTCTCAGGCCACCTGGGTGGGGGTGGCTTGTCATTGCTCCAGAGAACCAGGATCTAGGAGGAAAGCGGGTGTTACTGAAGTCTGGGCCAGAAAGATCCCAAGCGTTTTCTTTCTCAGGATGGAAGAAGTATGGGTGAGCGGCTGTACATGTGAGTTTGGGAGAAGACAGCTGGAGCTGAGGTCCTTTCATTGCTGTCCTGTTCTTGCCTCTGGGCGTCTGGAAGGCAGGGGTTCCAGTGACACGAAGGTAGCTAGCTGCCCTTGGCATCAGAACTCAAGAGGGTTCTAGTGGTAGCCCCTAGCCTGGGTCCTGACCCCGTGTCCCACACCCACCCTGTCTCGAAGATTTTCATTCTCTTCCTCCTGCTCCGTTATCATTCCCAGCCCAGCTCCTATTCCCGTCTTTGTTGCCACTCCATCTGTGCCCCGGCTGAGCTCACGGCTTGCCCCTTCTGCAAGTGTTCTCGAGAGTCTCTCTGGCTTCTCTGGAAGGTATGTTTGGCAGCCTGAGTGCTAGGAAATGCTGACTGAATCTGAATCCCAGGGGAGAGCCCTTTCCTGCCTTTTCTCTGCACCCTCAGCGTCAAGCCCGGGGCCTGGTGCTCAGAAAGTGAGCTGGGTGAGTAAGTGAGTGAACACAGGTATGTTTATCCCTCCAGCCTCCCCAAGAGGTACCTCTTTTTGGATGGAGTCATCAATTTCCATGGGGAGGCAGAGAGGGGGGTGGGGAAAAAGGACGAGAAACTTGGGACTTAAAGAAGAAGGCAGCAATGGTGCTTAAAAGTCTTCCCCGTGCCTTCCCTCCCCAAAATGGGTGGTTATCTTTGGGGTCCAGGTGTCTTCAAGGGCCCTGCCCTGTCTTTTGCCCCCACCCTGGATCCCAGCTGGCAAGGGGACAGACCTGGGCACAGTGCTGGGAGCCTGCCACCGCCTGGATGAGCTTCAGGGGGGGCTGGCCTGGGGCCCCCACCCAGATCAGGGCGCTGAACCTGCCTGCAGGGTGAGAGCCTGGGGGAATGAGACACAGGCTATTAGGGTGGGGGTGGGGGGACAGTCCTCTGGGGAGTGACGGGACTGGGGACCCTGGGAGCCAGGAGAGAGGTCAGGGACCTGGGGATGCCTTGGTGGGGCTCTGTGGTTGAGACTGGGAGGAACTCGAGGAGATACGATGAGGGGACTTCAGGACATACCCTGCCGTAGGTAATAGAAGGGGAAGTCCGAGGGACTTGTGGAAAACGTGGGCAGGGCCAGGAGAGCCCCCGGGGGGCTGTTCCACAGCAGTGAGGGGTGAGCAGACACTCCAAGGATGCGGTCCTGAATAATCTGTAAAATGAGAGCGGGCTCTGCAGACTGGACGGAGTGGCCAGGGCGGCAGTGAACGGGGTCTGAGGAAGTGAGGACCTGGCTAGCTCCGCCCCTCCCCCTTGAGGCTGCGGGAGGGGGGTGGCAGCTGCGGCACCCAACCCCTGGGAGCAGAAGGGTTTCAGACGCAGGAGTCCAGAGTAGAAGACACTCGGTGATGGTGGCCGGAGCTGGCAGATGCTGGGGAGCTGGCTGCCTCCCTCTCCGTCCTCACTGGTCACGGACCTCGCCAACGGCTCCGACACTCTTTCCAGACCCAAAGCCTCTCCCGCGCAGCCCCAGGGCAGCCAGCGCCCATCAGCTGGAGTCGGTGCATGCTTTGGAATCTATCTGCGACCGCCATCCCTCTACAGATGGGGAAACTGAGGCCGGCGTTGGGGAAGGAGCTTATCCAAGAGCTCCAGTCTCCGCGTCATCCCAGAAGCATCTTTAAGGGGGAAGCCCAAACGAGGCGGAGGAGCTGTCCTGCGGGGGTGGGGCAGGAGCCTGGTGCCAGGGCCCCAGCCATGCAAGTCCCCCCTTACCTCGAGAGCGGTGTGGATGACCTTCTCCACGGAGGAGAAGTAGGTGTCCCACAGAAACTGCGTCTGCTGACGCAGGGTGAGCACCCGCGTCAGGGGCATCTCCTGGAGGGCAGCCAGGACCTGGGCCGCAGAGGGAGAAGAAGAGAAGGCGTGTGGTGCGGCCTTGTCAGGCCCCAACTGACCCTGGGGTAGGGGGTCAGGGAACCAGAAGCCCTCTCCTGTGGTTCTCCAGAGTTAGCAGCAGCCACCCTCAGGCCAAGTCCCGGGTAACATAGCATTGGAAGTTCAAGGGTCACAGAGAGCTGAGTTTCAATGCCATTTAGTAACCGTGTGACTGTGGACAAGCGACTTAACCTCTCTGAGTGTTCCCGCATGTGTAAAGTGGGGCCGATAATGGTACCTGCTGCCCAGGGTGGTTGTGAGGGTTGAATGAGGTGGCACACGTTACGTGCTCAGCGCGGCGTAGAGGTTCAGTGCGAGGTAGCTGCTGGTGTTAGCTCCCTGCACCCTCCTCCCTTCTCAGCGGGGTCAAAGTTCACACCCGCATCTCCCAGAGCCGGGCAAAACTGGTTCCATCAGATGGAAGAGTCGCTGTCTTTTCCTTTGCCACCCGAAGCCTCATTCATTGAGGCACTCCAATTGGGGGTTTTGTGTGTGTGTGTGTGTGTGTGTGGACTTCTCTTACATTGGGTATTTAAGTGGTCATGGACCCGTGGGGCTGGGCCCATGGAGATCAACTGCTCTAACTCCTCCCATTTTACAAAAGGGGAAACTAAGGCTGAAAGAGGCTCAGGACATGCTCTCAGAACCCTCAGGAGTCTGTCTCCATGTGATCCGGTGGAGTCCTGGAGGCTTGGGAACAAAGTCACCAACATACTACAGAGACAGGGCATATGGATGAGAGCTGGGGCTGGCCTAGGGGCTGGGGTCCTGGGGTCCCTCCCATGTCCTGGGCCCAGTCCCCACCCCACGGGCAGGGCCCTCGGCTACCTGAAGTGGGAGCCTCTCATCAGCTACAACAGCCGCCTTGGTCCAATCGATAACCTCGGAGAAGGGCAGCTCCCAGCGAGGGCTGAGAAGTACAGGGATGCAGCCAGCCTGGGGGGTGGGGGTGTCACTGGGGAGCCCCGTCCCGCCCTACACACATACACCCACCTCCCAGTTCCAAGGCAGCAGCTGCTGCTGTTGGGGGCAAGGAGCAAGGAGGAGAGACCAGTGGTTCGGGGAGTGTGGGTTGTTCCGCAGAGGGTGGGATGAACGGGGCCACGGGCACACCCGAGTCCCAGAGTAAAGGAGTAAAGGGCAGCTCGCGGCTCCTTCCCATTGGCCTGGGGCCCAGAGGACCCTGGCAGCTCAGGTGTGGGGGGTCAGGGATGGGGGATGCCCAAGTTGGGGTTGTACCTGCAGGGCTTGGAGGAAGTGCAAGGCATCAAGACGGCGGCTGCGGCCCGGGATGAGGCAGAAAGTGGCATTGGGCAGCGTTGCCCCAGGGCGGGCCCTAAAGAGGCACAGGAGGGGCCCAGCGTATTTGAGGCCTGAGACAGCTGCACTTTCCAGCACCTGGCCCACTGATGGCCCCCCAGCCCCCACAGCAGCACTCCCAAATTCACAAGGTACAAACCCACCACCTGTTCTTGTATGTTAACAAACGCTCGGGCACAAGCACAGCTACACACTGATACACCTACACAAGCGCCAGCCTCACATGCACCCCTCACCCACAAGGCAGGAGCCCCTGGTTCTAGCTCTGCCTCTGCCCTTGCTGGTCTTAGAAACCTCCCTTCTCTCCTCTAGGCCTCGGTTTCCTCATTTGCAAAATGGGCAGCGGCAGGACCTGATTTTCCAAGGCCGGTCTGACTTGGACATGCCCGTGTTTGCCCTCCCACAGCTCTGCCCCCCGCAGACTCTGGGGCAGCCCTCACCTGAGTGGCCTCCATGCCCTGCCTCCCCACCCCCATCCCGAGGGCCCAGGCCCATGAAAGGCTCCTCTGTCGTGAGGTGGGCTGGGCCCCCAGCCTGGAACCACACAGGAAGCTGCTGCTCAGAGGCCCCTCACCCAGAGGACAGGCCTCCTCTGTTCTTCCCACCTCCTCCCCCAGCTCCAGGGCCACACTCAGGCTATGTGTGCCTGGGGGGAGGGGGGTCACAGCCTCCTCAGAGCCACTTCCCTGGCACCGCCCACCCACAGAAGTGGTGCCCGTGACCTAGCTGCTGGGTAGGGGGAGGGGCGTCAGGCAGGACTCGTGGGCTCACCGGCCTGCTCAGAACAGGACTGGTGAACAGGGCCCAGAGGGTCCCAGGATCCTCCTCAGCTACAGCGTATTTGGTCCTGAGTCCAAACCTTCAAGGAGCAGTCCTGGGAGTCCTTAGTCAGCCTCTGGGCCAACCCCCATTGAACAGATGGGGAGACTGAGTCTCAGACTCAAAGATGAGTTCAGGGTCTCAGCAAGAGCTGGGCAGAGCTGGAACGGGAACCAAGGTGCGCTACTCAGGGCCCTGAGTTATGTGAACCACCCGGGGCTGCTGCCTTCTTTCTGCAGTGCTGTGTCCACCAGGCTTTCCATGAAAGGGACAGTGAGTTAAACAGCAGAACCCCCTTCACCTCATTAAAAGCGGCAGCACCAGCCAGCTATAGCACTCCCCCGCCCCCAGTAAAGCCTTAAGGGACTGAAAACACCTAAGATTAAGGCTTCAGAGAGCCCAGAAACAAAGAGCCTGTTGAAGGAACTATACCCCTCGGCCCTCATTAGCCCCCACCGTTCCCTCACTTTGAACTGTCCTTCTGCCTTGTCCTGGAGCACCCCTCCCTTCCTTGCAGCCCAAGGAATTCCACTCCGTCTTAACATCTAAGCTCAAATGTCACTTCCTCCAGCAAGCCTTCCTGATCTCTCCAGAGATGGCTCCCTCCTCTCTGCTCCCACAGCCCTTACGTGCGCTGGAGCAGCAATGAGCCAAGCTAACCTTTATCGAGCACATACTTTGTGCTAAGTGCTTGACTTTCATGACCACAGTTCATTCTCACAGCAGCCCTATGAGATAGAAGGTATGTGCTGTTAACGTCGCATATTATAGATGAGGAAACCGAGGCCGGCAGAAGTCACATAGCTCTGAAGTACAGGAGCCAGGCGGCTTGCACAGCCTCTCCATGCTTAACAGTGTGTATCACAACCAGGGACTCGTCTGTCTGTCCTGCAGGACCAAGCTACTTGAGGACGGGGCTGTGCCTCCCTCATCTCAGGTCTCTAGGGCCGAGCAGAGCGCCTGGCAGAGAACGGGTCACTCACTGGGTGCTAAATGAATGACTTCTCAGTGTGCCACTGAAGCCAGACCCAGGACCAATGGACCCCATGTCTGAAAAGTCAGTTTTGGTACAAGTTCTAATAATGGAGCTGGTTGTGAGTAGTCAGTCGGTAGCCTTGTAAGATGGTGAGCTCCCCATCAGTAGAAGTAAACAAGCAGAGGCTGGAGGAGCACCTGCATGTGTGTGTTATAGAAGGGTCGTTGTGGCAACTGCCAATGAAATCTGGGGTTTCGTGGGGTTCCGTGATCATATAAGATACTTGCCATGGAATCAGGGCCCCAGGGTCAAGGCTGGAGCGCATGTGGCTCCACCTGCTTTCATATGCCCTGGGCACTTCCTATGGCCTTTGTGACCCCTCTGCCATAAAAAAAAATGGATAAAAATTATATTTGATGTGTTGATATAAACATGAACATATTAATATTATATATGAAAATATTTTCTTCTACCTAAAAGCTCATTTTTTTCTCCTGATTCAGAAAAAAATGAAAACCCTTTCATAGGCCCCTAAAGGCGTCATGGGCCGGAGGCACGGCACCCCCTGCACCCAGTAGAGATGGGCCAGGGGACTTTAAAACCTGCACTGAACTTGTGCAAATAAACAAATTAAAACCATGGGAGAGCAGAGGTTCCTGTTGCTTGTGCACACACAGAGCAGCTCAGAAAAGACGCGAGAGAGAAACCAGCAGCGGTGTTTGGCTCCAGGAAGGGAAACGGGGTGGCCGGGGACCGGGCGGGAGGGAGTTTTTACTGTGTGCCCTTTTGTGCCTTTGGAATTTTGTAGCATGTGAATGAATCCCCTATTCATAAAAATAAGTAACAATTTCAGTGGGTGGAGGCTTATTCCAAAGCAACAGGAGAACTGCCCGACAAAGGTGGAAAAACATGGGCTTTGGAGCCAGAAGTGCAGGGTTGAAGCCCAGTGCCAAGCGCCTGAGCAGAAACATGAGGGAGGCTGTGATGAATCAAGGAGCCTGTCACCAAAGGCCCTAGGCTGGCCCCGTGCCCTCCGCCCCTCTGAGCCTCGGTTCCCCGTTCCCCGGAGTGAAAACGCTAATACCTCCCTCACTGAAGGGCATGACAGAGGATTAGCGTGACTTCTGTGAGGTGGCGCAGCACCTGGCCCAGAGCAAGCTTTCCCTGAATATTCACGTCGTCCCCTCCCCCTCTCCCTTGCTCGCTGAGTGAATGTGGGACAGCGGCGGGGACAGTGAATCGCCTCTCTCTCGGGCCAGCAGTGGTTTACGCAGGCCACCTTCCAGGGCTGGCCGCGCGGCTGCCGGCCTCCCTCCCACACTCTGTCCCTGCACTGCCCGCTAGCTCAGGCAGCTGCCTGGCACTTCAGGGAAACTGAGACCCAAACTGCCCCAGAGATGAGAACTCCTGTGACCTACAGGTGGGAGGGAGGAAGCCAAAGACAGAACTTCTTGATGTTAGACAACAATATCAGAGCCTGCCAGGCGTCACGCCTGGGAGAAAAACTTACCAAAAATGCCACTCAGAGGGAGGGCCACGCTGATTAGAAAACCTCGGCCAGTTCTGGCCAGTTCGGGGCCAATCAGTAAACTGTGCACAGCTCCCTAACTCTCGGTTTCTCCAAGAGGTTCAGGCTGCAATACCTTTCCTATTCACCAGTGAAACCTGCTGCATTTCGCAGTAACTACAGTCAGCTGAAAGAAGACCTGTCTGTGCAAGAACAGCTAAGAGCCAAGTCAGAAAAGTGACACAGGGCATGGTGAGTGGAGCCCCTTGTCACCAAAGGTGAGCTCTGAGCTCGAGGTACCTGGGGGATCCTGGCTTTTGGGGTAACTGCCGAGAATGCCTACTAGGAGAGGGTCCTGGCCAAAAGGCTGTGGGAGCTGGTGGGGAAATTCCGTATGTACTTCCCCTGGCTGTGGGGCTCCCTAGAGGAAGTAGAGAGATTTATTCCCACGAGCACCCTTGGGCTGCGAAAAGCCCCAGAAGCCCCAGGCAGAGGCAAAAACGGAGCGTGGCCACGGGACGAATTCCTGGGAGGGAAGCGGAGCTCAGAATAGCCCACGTTGTGCCGGCAGAGAACAGGGGTGTGCCTGGGGGAGGGAGAGGGAATCCTCTGCTTCAGGGTCCCCGGACAAGCTCAGGAAGATGTTCGTTCTTGCCTGCCCTGCCAGCTTTTGGAAACTGCTGGCCTCCGGGGGGGGGGGGGGCAGACAGGTTAGGGTGCTTAGGGGTTAATAGCTGTATCACCTAAGGTGTGTCACCCCAACGGGGCCAGGTAGAGAGAAGTTTCTAAATGAGCTCTCCATGTCCCATAGGCCAGTGCCCTCTATATGTATTCAGGACTCCCACTGGCAGGAAGTTCTTCTGTAGGTCTAGCCCAATTCATATTTGCTCTGACCAAAGACTGTTTCCTTGCTAGGTCAATCTCCAGAGTTAGACACAGGCGCAGCCCCCACCTGTGACTGATCACCGTGGCCCTGTGGGATTTGACAGGGTCGACGGTAAACGAACCCTCCCTTAGAATTCGGAATGCTGATGCTGAAGGCTTTGGAGACAGGCGATTCTGAGTTAAAATACTGCCTGTGCACTCGCTGGCTGGGTGGCCTCGAACAATGACTTAACCTCTCTGAGCTTCAGTGACTGATACACAAACACTTAATGATAGCAATGAGTATTATCTTATTACAATCATTATTTATGGAAGTGCTCAGCACAGAGCTAACAGTATAGGAGTGCACGTTAAATAAAATATTAGTGAAGGAGGCATTGGCATAAGAGAAAAAGAGTAAGAGTGAGTCATGTTTTTATGTTTTTCAAGATCCCCAAGGGAGAACTCCAAAACCCGCCTTGAACCAGGCAGTAGGGCTCCCCGCTGTCTAACTTGACTCCCTCCTGCTGTCGCTAGTTCTCCCGTCTCCATCCCGCCCTCCACCCTGACCTCTGGGCTCGCTCCCCTCACAGACCCCTCTCCTCCAGCCCCCAGGGGGAAGTTCCACTTACAGCTCAGGTCCACGGTCCTGCTCACAGCGCCCGTCCCAGGGGCAGGTGGAGGAGTTGGTCCCTGCCGAGCGCCACCCACCCCTCTCTTCTGCCAGGGCTAGCAGGGCCGCCCTGGGGTGGGGGCTGTACTGCCGCAGCTGTCCAGGAGCCCCACCTCGAAACGGGTGCGCTTCAGAGAGAATCGGGAGGGCCACGTCAAAGCCAGGCCGGAAGGTGTCCACTGGGGGGCTGGCCTCAGCCACCATCGCCTGTCCCAGCTGGAAGGTCCAAGGACAGGAGGCTGGGTGGAGCCGGAGGACCAGACGGTTCTTGCCTTGGTCCCATGTCGGGGGCACCAGGCTGCACCCTCCAGCTGAGGCATCCAGGCTGAGGAGGTGGAGGCAGGCCTCAGCAGGGTCGAAGGTGTGGTAGCGGGATCCCTCAATGGAAGCCAGGATCTTGCGCTGCGTCTCAGAAATGGGTCCAGCGGCCGGGTACACAAACACCTTGAGGCTGCCACCCCTGCACTTCGAGGCATCAAAGCAAGCTCCCCAATCACAGCTGCCACTGCGGAGGGCTTGAGGAGGTCGAGGGGCATCTTCTGGCAGCTCCCCAGGATGGGAGAAACTCTGCAGGAGCTCTGCATCCAGCCAGCGGGGCCAGCCTGGGGGGGGCCCTGCCCGCGGTCTGGTGGGCACTGCCAGGCGGAGAAGGGGAAAGATTCCCAGGAGGCCGAGAAGCCAGGAGGTCAACAGTGCCAGCCACAGGGACTTCCTTCTCCACGACTGCATGTGGCCACCCACAGCCAGGGCTGGGGGAAGCAGGAGGTGCAGGGGCCCGACGCGGGGTCACTGGAGCTGGGATCACCCTAGTTCAGTGCCCTCATTGTACAGATGGGAACACCAAGGCTCATGAAGAGCAGGCTGTCCTGCCTAAGGTCAAACAGCAAGTTGCCAACCAGGCACAAGGAGGCCAGGTAGAACCCGGCTTTCTGGCCTGGCTTTCCTGTGGTCAGGACTCTGCCTCCTGGGCCTTCGGACAGCCAAGCCAACCTTTGCTCTCCCAGCAGGAGCCCCTGCCCCGGACACTATTCAGGCTGATGCAACCGCTGTCTAGATTGCTAGGCTGTGTCCTCTCTTCTTGGCTGAACCCCCTGACCTGGTCCTTGATGGAGAGTACAATCTGCCAGGCCATGGGGGACCTGTCAGAGCTCCCACAAGAGGTGGCTTGGCCAGGGTGCAGGGCTGGAAGAAGCACGGGGTGGTCTCCCCAATCCTCCCCCAGCCTGAGCAGCCCCAGAGCAGCTCTGGCCACCCCTGTGCCCGCTGACAAGCACTCCTGGGCTGCAGGCCCTGTGGCTGAGTTAAAATTAGACCCAGTGCCCCATGTGGGCTATCAGGGTCAGCTGAGGTCAAGGCCTGCATGCAGCTGGTGCCCCTTGGCTACAGTGCCAAAAGGGCTATTGGTCCTGATCCTTTCCTACCCTGCCGCTGTCTCCAGCTCAGGCAGCCTGGCCCCTCCTCCTCCAACCCCTGGGAGCTGGCCCTGCACCCTCTGTCTTGGAGCTGTCACGGTGCAGAGGCCGGGACCCTGCATCGAGACCCTGCCCCATGGCGCCCAAGCCCTTCGGATTTGTCTTCTCCGTTCCCTCTCCAGGCAACATCTGGCCAGTCTCGATCTCTCTCCTAGTGGCAGCCGGGCCCCTCCCCTGGCAGCCCTGATTCGCTCCTGGCTGGGAGGCAGGGTCTCCACTTAACCCCTTCCAAACCAGTTTCTTTGACTTGCTAATCAGAGCCAGCAGGGACCATACCTCAGTTTGCCATGAGCTGTCACAGCCTGTCTCTGAATTCTCACATTAACACTTCAAGTCAGAGGCTTATCACTGTCATTTTTTACAGATGAGAAAAGCGAAGCTCAGGGAAAGGATGTTATCCTTCTAAGGAGACTCAGCTAAGAGGCAGGGTTGGGGATTTGAACCCTGAGCTCCTGACCCTAATCCTTAGAGCTTCCCATGGTCACCCCAGCTGGGGGCCTGAGTGTGGGAGTCTACAAGTCGGATGACATAATATAAATGAGGTGTTAAGTAGCCCCGTGAGGGTGCTGGGCAAAGTGCTCCCGACGATTTCCAGGTTGGTCCCTCTTCCTTCAGCTGCCCCCACCCCACACCCTGGCAGCAGCAGGGGGTGGAGGAGGGTGTCTGCAGGCTGCCTGGGCCTAGAGTTGCTTCCTGCCCCAGGTGCCAGGTGTCATATTGGCCAAGGTGCCCAGGCAGAAAACAAAGGCTAAGTTCCCTGTGTTGGATCTGGAGTGTTCTCTCCTTGCAGCCTGATTCTGCTTCCTCCACCCTTGCTTTTCTGGGATGGGCATGAAATCTGCAGACGGGATGTGTCTAGCCTCCCGTCTAGAGGCCTGGAGTCTATATAGTGCTGTGGTTAAGAGCATAGCTCAGGTGCTCTTAACAAGCTGTGTGTTCCTGTGCAAGTTACTCCACCTCTCTGTGCTTCCGTTTCCTCCTCTGTAAAATGCTGATCACAGAAATATCAGGAACAAAGGCTTGCTGGGAAGGGGATTAAATGAGATAATGCCTGGCACAGAGTAGGCGCTTATTCCTCCTCAGACCCGGAGGAAGTTGAGTGACTTGCTCAAGGGACACTAAGCTTCCATCTGGGGTAGATCAGGACCAGGACTTGTTTTTTTCCTCCTGTACCCAAGTTTTTCCTGCTGCAACCCCATCTCCATTCAAGAGGAAAGAAGACACTTTGAGCTCTAGGAGGCAGTCACCGTGGAAACCCATCTGCTGCTTCTCTGCTGCTGCTTGTTCCTCCAGCTCTGAGCTGGCTGGGGCCTCACTGCAAAATTAACCAGTGCAGCTGCAGGAGCCTCCGGGGTCTCAGCTCTCACTTGCTGGAGCACAGATACGCTCAAACCCTGGTGAAACCCCGCAGGAGCCCACGATATCACTCCAGCTCCAGCTAAAGGGAATCTGCAGCCCTGGGCACCCCCAGGATTCAGAGAGGTTCCTGCCCATAGTGGATAATCCACACCTGGACCCCACCTGAGGGAAGGCCAGGGACGTAGCCCAGGGGACCAGATGGGGGGTAGGGGGACAGTTCTGGCTTCTGCCCCTTCCCTAGGCACGGTATGTGATCCTGGACACGTCACAGCCTCTTTCTTGGCTTTCAATTTCTCATCATCAGCCTAACATGGTGGCAGGGCTAGGCTTTCTAGAGCAAAAAGATCTGGAATTCTTGCTCAGAAGTAATCCTGACACAGTTCAGAAGGTCAGTCCTTCCCTTTCCCAGCCTTTAACACTTGACCTTGTTAAGGAAAAGTTTACAAAGCTTAGAAGTGAGGCAATGAGGAGACCGTGATCTTCATCCACCCACTGGGGCATCACCAGACAAGCCCCAGGGGTCACGCGGCTCCCTGTGTATTCAGGCCCAGGCATTTTATAAGTCCGAGAACTAAGGTGCTAATTCATAGGAAACAGATATCCAATAGTATCAAAATGATTTCTGACCAGCGGAGATTATAGGTTAAGGCCGAAAGGTTGTAGGCCACTCACTGTAGGGCATTTGTGTCTGGAATGTGACTAGCAATCTTTTCCCAGCATTCTCTATGCTTCTTTGGCTATATCAGTCAGTCCTCTGAACCAGCTTTGTCATCCTGAGAACTTCTTCATGAATAAGTGAAATGCAACTTTGACTCGTGTTCACTATGCATTTGTATAATTTTTAGCAGCCCTGGCTGGCGTGGCTCTGTGGATTGAGCACCAGCCTGCAAACCAAAGGATCGCTGGTTCAATCCCCAGTCAGGGCACATGCCTGAGTTGTAGGCCAGGTTTCCCACTAGGGGGTGCTCAAGAGGCAACCATACATTGGTTTTATTTTACAAATAAAATCTTTTTTAAAAAATACTTTGTAGTGTCGCAGGTTCGATTCCCAGTCAGGGTATATGCCTGGGTTGCAGGCCATGACCCCCAGCAACCGCTCATTGATATTTTTCTCTCTCTCTCTTTCTCCCTCCCTTCCCTCGCTAAAAAAATAAAAATAAATAAAATCTTTAAAAAAAGGAATCTAAGCTGTGACATTTAAAAAAATATTTTTAAAAAGCATTCAGGTGAATATCATTGCAAAGCTCACTGAGCCTCATTTTCCTCCCCTGTGAAATGTGAGATTCAAGGGAGAAGCTGACAAATTTGCCAACCTTGCACCAAGCACTGTTGAGCTCTTTAGAGCCGGGTTTTCATTAAAGCCCTGAAGCAATATTGCAAAGGTGGAGAGAGAGGGGTGGGGAGGAAGACAGGTAGCTATTCTCCCCATTTTAAAAAAGATTTTACTTATTTATTCCTAGAGAGAAGGGAAGGGAGGAAGAAGGAGAGGGACAGAGACATCCATGTGTGAGGGAAACATCAGTCTGTTACCCAGCCCAGGACCTTGCACGAAACTCAGGCACGGGCCTTGCCCAGGAGTTGACCAGCAACCTCTGGGTCGGTCTGCGGGACGACGCCCCAACCCACCGAGCCACACCAGTCAGGGGTTTCCCCATTTTTTAGGAAAAGTGAAGTGATTGCCCCAAGGCTATACAGCCAATGAGTAACAGAACCTGGATTGGAACCACTGCACCACAGTGGGCTAATTCCTGCTTCGCAGGTTTATGGTGGGGCTTGTGGGATGAGCTAACATGTGGGATGAGCTAACATGTGGGATGAGCTCACAGTGCTTGGCAAGCTGGACAGGTGTGCACCCGTGTGAATAATCATAGTCAGCCCAAGGCAGCCTTCTAACCGGCCACATCTAGACACTGCCCGTGGGCTCCCCTCCTGTGGGAAATGGGCCTGTGCTTCCTGTGGGGTGGGTTTCTCTTGTCTGGAGAAAGCCAGAGGGGATTGAGGTGAGCAGACCTCGCTGGTCCAGCCCCTCACACACAGGACAGCATCCCTGCCTGAAACTGCTGAATAGACTTTCAGCCCTGGCCGCTCCTTTGGGGTCCACGTTCCCGGGACAGGGTTCTGGAGGGCTGCAGGGCTGGACAGGCCAAGCAGACAGGCAAATTTCAAATCCTGGTCTTGAAGTCATTCTGTCCCGTCTTCCTGAGCATTTCAACCTGAGTTAAGAGCTTCTCTGAAGGCTCCAGAAGCCACGCCCAGCCTCCTCTAGGTGCCCCGGGGCCCGCCCAGAGCAGCCCATGCCCAGACAACTTCACCTCAGGCCTGGGTGCCGAGGAGTTAATGCACAGGGCCAGCTTAGCAAATGTTTACCTCCCAGGCAGATAATTATCAGTCTGCTTTCCAAAGCAGAGGCAGGAAGATTTATTTCTCCTCTCCTCCCTCCCTGGGGATGCTGCTTGGCAGAGTAAACACAGCTTGCTGCTGGCTCTTTGAGGAGCTCCCCAGCAGAGAGGTGGGAGCTGGGGGAAGGAATCAGGCCCGGAAGTGGGCTCCCAGGAGCAGACACAGGCAGCTCAGTCCGGTTTCTCTTGAACTTTGAACTCTGGGCCCCACCTCTGGAGCCTGGCCTAGACTGACATTCTTTAAGACATGGTAGTTATGGCAACTGATGGAGCCCCTGCAAAGGCTGAGCCCCTCACATGCATCACCCCATTTAATCCTGACAGCCACCGGAAGAGCTAGGTGCTGTTAATTCTGATTCCAGATTAGGGAAGGGAGATGCAGAGAGGTGAACCCAGTTAGTGGGCCATAGGCCAAATCATGGGCTGATATCAGACCTGCTGGACTGGCTGTCGATTTGTTGAGTATCTACTATATGCCAGGCATCACGCTGGACACTTTATTTCTATCTCTAATCCGGAAGCAGCATTTCCTACAATCCCTTTACTACGCTGTTAACATCAGAAGAGTGAGATAGTACAACCCATGACTGGCGGAGAAACACAGGCACAAAACCCAGAAATAAGAAGAGAGGAGAGATGGGCCTCAAGTTGCCTCGTGAAATCCAACCAGCGTCCTCATCAGAGGTCGCTCAGGTCCTGGCAGTTTCACCTCCAAACAAACCCTGCCACCAGCCCGGTTTCCCCTCCCCTGCTCCCACCCTGGTGCAGGCCGCCATCGCTCTGGGCCCGGATCGGCCCCTGGCCATGCCTTTCTTCTGGTCTCACTAAAATACTGTCTTCTCACAGCAGCGAGAAGATTTGTTTAAAAGTAAATCCCATCCTTCCTTGTCTGTAACTCTGTATTCACTACATCTTTTTAGTTTCTGTATTTTGGTGCTTTGACATGGGTGGGAGTGGGGTGGGGGTGGTGGCTTGTTGACTTTGGAGGGACTCCCCCTCCCAAGACTTCCCAATTCCTAAAGGTTATAAGGGACTTACCCTTGAGCTTGCTCTTGAAATGCAAAGCAACCAGTCCAGAGCTCCAGCCACCCCTCTACGGGGCACTCAAACTCAGGGACACTACCCCCTGCCCTAGTCCCCCGAGGACCAGGTACCAGACAGCCGGGTACAGCTCCTGTGCCTCAGAGCTCACTGACATTCATATCAGCCAGTCTTAAGCCTATTTACTCTGCCCCATCCATTCTTCCCATAGAAACCACAATAAAAGCTGCAGTTGATATATTGTTTTTTATTTTTTTAAGATTTTTAATTTATTTATTTTTAGAGAGAGGGGAAGGGAGGGAGAAAGAGAGGGAGAGAAACA